ACAATTAAATATTCAATAAACAAATTAAATAAATAGTTAACAATTAAATATTTAATACACAATTTAAATAAGTAAATAAACTATTTAATTTTTAAATATTATGTTATATCCATTGTCTCTTATACAAGGTCCAAACATTTTAAATTTTACAAAATGAATTACCATTTGGACGTCGCCATGAGACACATTCCCGACAAAGTTACGTCGAACTATAACTTTGTTAGCTTCACATTAGTCCTAGGTTTGTTGGATGAGAAGAGCACAGACCTATTACACCGATCCTGCTTATGACAGTAACTCTGGCATAGTTAGGAGATGCATTCAATGAATGCGACGATATGTTTGATATGTTGGAGTTGGAGATATTTATACTAGAAAGCATACTGAGGTGTCATCACAAGAAGACGTCAATCATTGTCTTTCATTTGGAAGTTGTTGATGACATTGACACATTCAACAACTATTCACGGGGACAAAGCTGACAGTTATCAGCTTTCCTCAACGATCCTGAAGTACGTATTATTCATTCGTGATTTACGTTGTACGTCATTTCGAAATTTCGATGCATGGTCATTAACTCAGTGAAATGTTAATATGTCAACTTGAATTACTTACTGAGCTGACACCGTTAATCAAAGAAGAGGGTCAGAGTCATATATAAGGAGATACAGTATGCAGGCGATAGGGGTCCCAGACAGTGACAGAGAGTAGCGAAAATAGTGACAGGGGAGGGTGGTGGTGGAGGGGTGGGGATGTACATAGATATTTCATTAGAATCGTTATGGATGTCAGTGGAGATAGAAGATGTGCCGATGGTGGGGACGAAATAATTGTAAATATTTTTTTATTTATGAAATAATTATATATATTGTAAAATATATTTAAATAAGGTAATGAAATATTAAATACATACTACACACAACCAATTAAGATAATTTATAAATGAATATCTAAATAAGAAATTAAATTAATTAAGTGATTAAATAATTAATTAAACAACGTAATTAAATATTAAATAAATAATATACATAACTATGTCGGAGAGGACCCCAAACTTGACAGATAACGTCGCAAGTTTGGATGACACCCTGTACGAAACATATTATTGACGTGCCAGAGCAAATGGTTAGCAAGATGACTAGATTACTATCACAATACATTGTTTCTCCGTGCACAATCGAGGCAAAGAAGAGAACATCTGTTGACAGTACGTTGCCCAACCTCTTCCGTTAAATCAACCTAGGTGATTGTGAAATCTTCGCATTGAAGTTAGGGCTGTAAATGGATTTGATATATGGATCGGATCTGCTCAAATCTGATCTGATCCGTTAATAATAATTACCTATTCGATCTGATTCAATAATCCGACGGATATTTGAATGTTAAATCTATATCCGATCAACTATGTTATCGGATATCCGATTCGAAATTGAAAAAATTAGAAAAATAAAGATTTTATTTATCTATCAGATTGGATTAATCTATATCCATATTTGATTCATTTAATTAACATATTATCAGATTTGAATCTCGATTGGATTATCGGATTAAGACCCTAAATCCATCTCCCATTAATTTCATCAGATTCAGATCGGATTCGGATCAAAATCTAATCTATTGATTTATTTAGTTAACGAATTATCGAATTCGAACCTCGATTGTGTTATCGGATTGAGACCCTAAATTCATCTCTCATTAGTTTCATCGAATTCAGATAAAAACTCAATCAATTGACAGCCCTAATTGAAGTACATTGAATTTTTAGCATCAAACGTGGCGTAGAGTTAATAAACTAAACACATATTAAAATGCAAGCATTCTTTTATTTACATTGTGATCCGTAATTATAATAATTTCAAATGTAAGCATTTTTTTAAATGTTTGTAATACTTTAATTTTTATGTAACTGTATAATAAATAACCAATTACTCTTAATTACATATGTAACACACTATAAATAAAGAAAATTGAGGAAATCAGTAACACACTATAAATAGAGAGTACATAGGATTTAAATAGATATTATACATCCGTTGGGTAGAGAGTAACATATTATAATCGGGAACTTCTCACTCGACTTCATTTAGTAGATGAAATATAGTTTCGGCATTCTTGAATAATGTTTAATATACTGAAAATGTGACCATGCCTAAAGTTCGACTCCCATTTCTGTTAGATATTCTCATACAACGTGTGATTTATGTTCTAATTAAATATTAAATAAATAATATACATAACCAATCAAGGTAATTAATTAATGAGATATTTAAAGGATAATTTAAATTAAATATTAATTTTCTATTCGAATAAGTGATTAAATAAAGTAATGAAATATTAAATAAACAATATATATAACAAATTAAGATAATTAATTAATGAAATATTTAAAGAAGAAATTAAATTAAATATTAATTTTTTATTTGAGTAAGTGTTTAAAATAAATAATTAAATATACATAACAAATTTAGGTAATTAATAAAAAAAATATTTAAACAAAAAATCAAATTAAATATTGGACAATTCTACATGTACTAATTCATAAGAATGTCCATAATGTACATGTGGAATTCCATGAGTGGAAGATCGAAAAAACTGTTTTTCAAATCTCCAATAATCTTATGCCACTTATACATTATGATATAATGTTTTTGTTTAAATAAGTAACTAAAATAAAGTAAGTAAATATTAATTACTAATAATAGACATAACCAATTAAGATGATTAATTACTGAAATACCAAAATAAGAAAGTAAATTAAATATTATTTTTTATTTAATTAAGTGATTAAATAAATAACTAAACAAAGTAATTAAATATTAAATAAAGAATATACATAATTAATTAAGATAATTAATTAATGAAATATTTAAATATGAATTAAAATAAATATTAATTCTTTTATTTAAATAAGTGATTAAATAAATAATTAAATAAAGTAATTAAATTTTAAATGCATATTATACATAACCAATTAAGATAATTAATTAATAAAATATCTAAGTAAGAAATTAAATTAAATATTAATTTTTTTATTTAATTTATTTAATTAAGTGATTAATTAAACAATAAATAAATAATATACATAGCTAATTAAGACAACAAATCCTTTAACTGCCATAAGTGATGTGAACAACTCATTTTAAATGAAAGAAATTTTAGACAACAAAAATATGAAAGGCAAAAACAAGATGTGAAGTCAAACCAGTGAAGTTTCCACAGACACTAAAGAGGTCACTTCATAGAATGCAAAAAAGGTCTCTCTTCCAACTATCAAATGTAACTATTGAAATAGACTCAAAACCCAAAAAGAAGACACACAGGCTACAAAACCGATGATCAAACCAATACTCTCATCTTGAAAGAAAAATGTGAGTGAAGACCATCTACATTAATTTTTAACAAAAGGAAGTCATGCAATGTATTTCTTTTATAGCTATGAAAGAAGGGGGGGAAATGTTCTGCCTATGTACAGGAACCTAATGGTAAGTCTATTTGTAAGTCTCCCGAATAGCAATAAATTACTATACCATTAAGAGGTTCTTGTAAATATTTTAATTTCCTATTTATCCTTCCGAATACATACACTGCGAACTATGATCGGATCATACTTATATAATTATTACCAATAACATGTGAAACTTGGATTCATCATTAAAAAATAGACTTAAGTTGCATACTTCATCATAAACATCATAATTATGTTAACACTATTATAATCTATTAAACACATGCTTCCAATCATTAGTATATTGAACAATTCCATTCATAGCTTAATATCATAAATAACGTGCCTCATTTTATGACCTTTATAACTTATTGTTTTCTTCTTTACTCACTAAACTCATATCAATATTAAAAATGCTAACATCGGGCGGCAAACTAGTATAGATAAAAGAATGGCAATGCTTTCACACTTCAATCAACTTCTACCACTTGGTTATCTTACTATTCATCTGATACGTTTGATATACTTGGACATTTACTGTTCATCTGACACTTGTTTGAGTAGAGAAAGCAAAAATTTAAAATAGGTTAAAGACAATTTTCAATAAACAGATTTTTCTAAATACTTTCAGAAATGTAGCTCGGTTGGAGCTCGTTAAGCCCTTGTTTGATTATCATTCTTCTAAAAATTCATTTTTTCAAAACTTATTTTCAACTATATATTCTTCAATAAAATAATATTGTATGCAAATTCAAAATTTTCTTTAATTTTTAACCACACATTCTCTATCAGTTTACTATTCAAAATGTATTATTTCCCCTAAAATGGGAATGAAACAAGGACTAAATTTATAATATATTTTTCTCCATTTTCTTTTCAACTATATACTTTTCAATAAAATAATATTACACATAAATCAAAATTTTTTTTTAATCACTCGTTCTTTAAAAAAAAAAAAAGTACACTATTCCAAAAATTATAACATCAAATAATGGGTGCCAAACTAGGGGTAAGAAATATAGATGCATAAGTTGGAATTACAATCTTACCCTTAAGTATAACAGAATGAAAAAAATATTTATTTACGATTGCAAGGGTACTTCTGGCAACGAAAATATGAAATTGAGGGTGTTACTGCCCTTTTCATTTTACGATTGTTGGTGAAATCATAAATGGTTTAAAATTTTTTTGACAAAATAAATAAATAACATTTTCTACATTTTTTTTTAATTCCTCACAGTAAATGTGAAAAAGATTTTGTCTGACACACGCAAAGCCCTTTGCTTTTCAGCCTGCATTATGTAAATATCCTGCACTTCTTTAGTTTCCAATGTAGAAGAGGAATAAATGCAATGCCTTTCTCTTCTCTTTAAGCCCAACACAGTCACATAGTACCGAATCGGAAGAAACCAAAATGCCTGGTGTGGATTCCTACTCTACAGATAATTACACACTTGTTATACCCAAGTTCGAGCTCTAGACTGCCAATCATTTGAAATAAATTACCTCTCTTCGTTAGCATCAAGGATTTTCCCCAATTCTTTAGGTATTTCATTGTGTTTTTTGGTTTTCGCTTCTGGGTTTTCATTTCATTCATTCTCCTTTTTGGGTTTTCATTTCGTTCGTTCTTGTATGAGTATTAATGTCCTGGAGGAGTAGTTACTCAAGATGGACATTGTTTAAATACTCGTGTCTTCAATATTTGGTTGCAGGATTAACGAAATCAAATTTCTATTTAATAAGTTTCGAGTGTTAAATTGGAATCTCTCTATTGAATGCGATCTGCACTTTGTGTCAAACAAAAATTTGTACACACACACATATTTGCATATATTGTCCATGCTTATACACATTATATAGTTACTGGGTTTTGTATTTAGTAGTCGATTATATGGTTTTGCGGTTCTATTATAATTATGCAATCCTTTGTTATTATTTTGAGTTCTTTTTCTTAAATTTGTTGTGAACATGTGATATTTAAATTTGATATAATTATGATTTTCGTTTTTATTAGTTTCACCTTTATATTTGTTCTTCACTTGGAACAGATGAGACATGTCCATTTTGCATTGTCAAGTTTGTGTAATGATTGTCTTGTTATGAGTATGTTAAAATTGTGTTTCCATGGAATGAATAAACTTGTAATTACTTGCACAAAATTTAATGAAAAGTCATGCTATCATTGGGATAATCTATTCTAATTTTACACTTGTGTTAGAATTACATGAATAATTGTATATTCTTGGACTGACGCTTCATGAAATTGTAGCTAGCTATCCTTTTCATCACAATGCTTGTGTACTTTCACATCAAGGATGAAAAGAATGCTTCAAGTGGTGAAAATAGTCTTTTACTATAGTTCACCAGCTTTCTGTCCAAGTTGATATTAATATTAATGAGTGAGACAATTGCAGTTAGCTTAGATTCAGTAGTCTCATAATAGAGATATCTATTGCTAATCAAATACACCTAAAGGTTTAGGAAATGAAGTGAACAAGAGTTCAGTTAAATTTCTAATTCCATAATTTTTTTTTAAACTATTAGAATCTACATAAAATTCATTGGCTTCTTAACTATAATATATTGTAATTGCATTTGAGATTGAGTTTTTCTCTCAACTGGACGATTACAAAATTTATATTTTGTAAGCTTTTTGAATTATCAGTTTTGTATGTATAAAAGTTGATGCATAGCTAATCATGAAAATAATTTGTGTGCATTGGTGACTAAGTTTTCTGTCAATTGGATAATTACTGTGTTGGATGATGGGAATGAAACGAAGGAAAACAGTTTCATCTATGTAAGATTTTAGCACTATTTATTTTGCTATTAGAGATAAGTAATCTTCTTTAAATAATGTGAATTTTACCTTCTATTAGTAGAATTTTATTTGAACTACTAATTTTTTTTTTTTAAGTGCGTCGAATAATATATTATGATATCTAGCAAATTCTGATATTAGCTTTGATTTTGTCAGACATATGAAAAAAAAGGAAAATTAAAAGAATTGTTTGATTTCACTGGTGATGAATGGAACTTGAAGCATGCTTGGTTAAGCTTAAATGTAATTATTATGGTTCATGGTCGACATTGCCAATAAAATTTCTTTTTTCTATTTGTTTCTATTTTGAATTTTCCACCTAGCAGATTGAGCCAATCCCAATTTGAAATTTGCGTCCTCAGTTTGGTTATACATTCGTCTATCTTTCTTGATTTCTTTACTCTTTTTCACTTGTAGGTTTTATGTTTTAGTGTTTTGAGGATCTATCCTACGCTATTTATTCATGAAGCCATAATGTTTTCTCCCTTTTACCCTTCAATCTCATTATATGAATTCCTAAATTGGGACCACAATGTTTATTACATATGGATACAAAATATCTCTTTTGGGAAAGAATGGTGTGCTACAAAACTAGTTTTGTACAAACCTTAATTTCCTCTCTCGACATTAGAAAAAAGGCAAAACAAAACTCTAAGCAAATTCAAGTCGATGGTTATAATTGTGTCTTCGTCCTTTTGTGATTTGCATTAGCCTTTGTAAATGTTGCTGCTATCTGCTCATTCACATCGTCCTTTGTACATCTCGCTTCGGTTTGCTGCATATTCTGATATCGATACTCACAAATAATGAGATATACGAACTTAAACTTTTGCTTTAGCTTATAGTTTTCCCCTCTTACTAACAAGTTCTATATTATTCATTAAATATCTCTCCAATCGAACCGTCATCCTCGTGTAATGTGGAGTGATTTTCGAAGTCTATCACTCCTTCAATTTCGGCTTAACATTTATCCAAGGTTCTATTTCTTGTAAATTGGTTGAATTTTTAGAATTTGTGGTTTAGTTATTTTGATTTCATTACTAATAATTGATATACTTATTCATGCCATATTTATGTTGTTTTTCCCAAATTATTCATTCACGGTTATGCTCACAGAATTTCTTTCATTCTGGCTTAGTTAGTTACCTCTTGAAATAGCCTTGTTTATTATAATTTTTCCCAAATTGTAGCAAAATAAGTTTTCCTAGGCTGCAGTATTATTTATGTTTAGATCATTACTTTTTGATATTCTACTGTTGGCTTTTTGTATTTTTGTATTTATTAATTTTAGTACTTAGAGAGGCAAAATCTGACTCTATATGAGAAGGTCACGGTGGACGTGGAAATGGGCATGGTTGTGGAAGTGGACATTGCTACATCAGAGACTCAAGCAACAACAAGAATTCTTATGGAAATATGGAAATTTCAGATAGTCAAGGTGCATCTGGAAAAGCTCATACCAGAAAGCCTTTTGAAAGATGCGGTGGCTATGGTAAACTTTGTAATCCTTGTGGAGGCGGTCACTGAGGTGGTTTAAACAATGGTGAAGTGGGGGAAGGTGAACAAGAAAGGCTACGTCAGGTTTTTGATCACCGTAGTGCCTTGGGTAGGGGTATGTATGCTATGTTTTTCACTAAATCTCTCGTCTTTGCATCTTTGCAGTCCTTAGACATTTATATTCTGCTGTGAACTTATTCGACTGCAAAAATGAGATAAAATGTGAGAGTTGGCAGAGGTAACTAGGAAGCTTAGACTGATGAACTGGCTATCTCCTTGGTGCCTTTGGCAGTAAGGCTTTAATAATACAATAGCATATACTTTTTCTCATGTTTAATATTGTGCTCCTTCGTTTCTAGAGTTACCGAAGAAGTAATCAATGAAGGTGAGAACAATCTGAATGCTGAGAAGAACTCAGGAGAGGAGGATGCCACACATGGGAACAAGGAAACTTCTACCATTGAAATTGAAAGGAACCTGAGCACATAAAAATTAATTCATGAGTCCATTTTTGTTATGGTAGTAGTCCAGTATTTACATAACGTCTTGCAAGATGACTTTATTCTTCTTTTGCAAGCTAATTTCAATTTATCATTTAATAATAACCTGTTCTCTTTCTTTTAGCTAGAGTAGATGTCACACGGGAGAATATTTGACATTAGTGACGAAGTTCCTATAACCTGTGAAGATAATTTTGTAGATATTTTCAAAAAGTACCATTATCACTTGTAGCTATTTTGTAGATATTTTCATTTGTGGCTATTTTGTCACTAGTCTATCTTACTTTTTTTGAAAGGTAATCACAGGAAGTGTCGACAGTCTGTCTTACTAACAAATCTTTTGTCAGAATTATTTGGTGACGCCAATATTGAACTCCTGTTGTTTCATATAAAAACTTTCTTTGCAATTTGAATTTTGATGTTAGAGTGCTACATCCCATCGATTTCTTCTTGTTTCATATTTGATACATGTAGTTTTTAATAATATTATATTCTTTGGATGCTTCATGCTTGATAATTATATTATGGTATTGCTACCTCCAGGAATGGAATCCCATATGCTTTCTATTTTGTTTTGCATGCATGAAATTGAAAGCGTAACTATTGTATGAAACTGGAGGAGAATATCATAAAGTCAACCTTTGGGACATTGACAACCACTGCCATACAGGTGAGTTCAATTTGCACTCTGCATTTTCTTTTTGGGCCCTTCATATTTTCTTATACCTTATTTCAACCTTCTTAGTACTTTTTTGGGACTACAAACTGCACAAGGAGAATAAACATATGTCAAAATTTAGTGCAATAAGATATTATATAAACTATCGAAACTTCGTAAATGTCTTTTATAGGAGAAATCACAAAAAAAATAAAAATTACCGTGTTAGATTAAGTTAGTTTTGCTGGCCTCATTGAATGAATATATTTTTCTTCAATCCTTGACATTGGACGCACTAACATTACCTTAAAAATACCCCAGCCCGTACATTGCACGGGCAAAGACTAGTAAAAATAAAAGGTCTATCATTAACAAAAGTACCCAGAAGAACTACTGAACAAAAATCAACAATTCATTAACAAGTCTCTCCTTCAAATTAGAACTATGACTATCAAACAAGACTTGGACAATAAGTCAGCAAAAATCATTTAAAACAAAAATAATATTTTAATCAGTATATATCATTCCTAATTTATATTGCATTTGACCAACTACGGTGAGATATCTCATCGTTTTTTCATCTTGACAGATCCAATTACACCTCCATTTTCCATTCCCAGCACTTTTTCAACTGCTGCTTCAAGTTTTAGGTCTTCAGCACCAAATATTGCAAGATCTTTTGCCAAATCTCTAATATCAAGCAATTTTATGTCTGTCTTCCCGAACGCAGCCGCAATGTAAGATTTCTTGTCGTCGATGTTATGACCAACAAGAATCCTTCTCTTTAAAAAGTTCACAAGTTTCAACGATGGAGTTTTGAACTCACGATTGTTTCCATGATGAGGATTGAGATATTGAAAAACCAGTGCCTCAACTTCTCTTGCTGAGATAACGAGGGTATTTAAAAAAGCATTCTGTTTTTTATTTTTTTTATCCTTAGGGAATTTTGTGTTCAGATTAAAACCTATGATTTAACTATCCTAATCCATCCTTATAGCTATTTTTCTATAATGGTTCTATCTTTAGTCATAGTAGTTGTTATGACCAATTTTTTTGGGCCGAATGGAAATAAAAACTTATGTTTATGGAGGTTGCTGACTATTTTTATTTTAAGAGGTGTGAAGTACAGTTTGATACAAAATGTATTCATAATCGGAAGAAAGTAAGTGAACAGAGGAGATTGAGGGATAAATATAGTCGTCGGGGCCAGTCTATATTTGGCTACTTTTACTAATTATGTTAAAAGCTATAATAACAAGACTAATGTAAAGATTACATGCACAATTAACTCTAATTTTATAGCTCATGCCAACACTTCATTAAACTAAAGATACTGGATTATTCTTCTCGAGTATTTGATGATATGGTTCGTGTTACTTTTCCTATCAATTCTTCGTTGTTGTGTACTTATAAATTAGCAGTGAAAAGAAACCTGAGTTTACTACGTTTGCAGGCATTCCTTATTTCGAGTTGCTCAAGCAATAACGCCTAACTCGAAATGTGGATTTACTCCAAGCAACTGCACTTTGTTGGTTGTCGTCTCCACCTTTAGATATTGAGGTATATCGTATTTCTATGTGTCATGTTTTGATATCAGAGAAAATTTTCATGAATTTATATACAAATAAAACAAAATTGAGATTCTATTTGCAGATTGAAGAAAATTTTCATATATCACAAACACTGCACTTTCTTGGTTGTCGTCTCCACCTTTAGATGTTGAGATATATCTTATTTCTATATGTGTCCTGTTTTGATATCAGAGAATATTTTCATGAATCTATATACAAATAAAACAAAACTGAGATTCTATTTGCAGATTGAAGAAAATTTTCATATATCACAAACATTTTGCTGGTACGGATTCAACTTTCAAGAACACCACCCCGACTATAGATTTTGGATTAGAGATACTCCAGTCTCATTAAACAGTTTAGAATGATAGAATTATAAGAGCTATCACTCGGTTCATAATCAACGTACTCAAAACCTTAAATTTCACTTCCACACATATATGACATACCCATTCAAGCATGACATTAACAGATAAAATTCTTGATAAGAAAATGGTCGCTGTTTCCGTCGCTAATATCTCCTCTCCATATAATACTTCCACTCGACTTTTTAATTGTATATGCTACTGTAGATTGACATAAAAAACACAAGCACGGTATCTTAAATTAATGTTATATAATATACAAATAAGAAAATTTGAGGGAATATGAATTACAAAGGAGCCGTAAACACAAAAAATACTCTTGTAAGATTCTAAACAATTTAAAAGCTTAAATGCCTCGTAAAGCAAGAACCTAGTAATATGATGTGAATCCATACATTATCTCATGGTCATATATTGCTAAGGAAACGGTGCTTTTGATAAAAAGAGAGTTCCTATAGGTTTCCAAGTTAAAATATACACCATCACACACTCCTCCTCCATCCTTTTCATAAAATATACACCATCACACTCTCTTCTCCCATCCTTTTCAAACTTTTTTAGAAAAAGACAAATGCTTTGCCTATATATACATCCACCCTCCGTTCACTCCATTGTTCCTCTTTAAGCATTTTCTCAAACATGAATATCTCTTTCACTATAAAATCTTCTTTCACTCCAAAGATCAAAAACACATGTTCTAACCTCCGGAAATATGAGGTTGATTGCCCATTTCACAAGAAACGCTTGATTACCACCACCATCACCACAGACAAAATCCATTTGGAAGAATGGATTAAAAGAGAAGATGGAGGTAGTAAGGACATTGGGTTCGATGTCAATACACGAAACATTGTGGTTGAAGATGAACAGACAAAATTTCTTACCACATTGGTTGTTGCAAGCAGATTTGATATGTTGATATATCAAAGAATGAGCGACCATCATGCAAACAATCGAAACTTCGTAAATTTACCACTGAGGCTTCTGAACTATCTAAGCAGGAACACTCTTGTATGTGACAATATGAATGAGAAAAATGCACCTCTTGCAGCTTCCTTTAGAGAAAAAGATAGGGAATCATTTCAGATCCTAGATCTCAAGGAAGAATTCTACCGTCAATTTGACATTGACAAAATGGTCTAGAGGCAGCTAAGAACAAGAAAGACGATCTGGGACTTGAACAATCAGGATTTATGTCAGCTGGAGGACAAAAAAATGGTGGAACTTCTCACCATTATAGGTCAACTGAAGTTCTATTTAGGAAAAATTTTCACCGATTAGTATTTTGACTGTGATTTTGTTGAAATTGTTGAAGGATAGTTTTTTTTATTAGGATTTGATTGAAACAGTGAAGGATAGGTTGAAAGTGTAGTATTTTGAGTAGGATAAGATTTTGACTAGGAGATGATAGTCAAATCATAGACTTCAATCTAAACACAAAATTTCCTGATGATAAACAAAATAAAAAACAGAATGATTTTTTAAATACCTTCATTATCTCAACAGGGGAAGAGGCACTGATTTTTCAACATCTCAATCTTCGTCATGGAAACAATCGTGAGTTCAAAACTCCATCATTGAAGTTTGTGAACTTTCTAAAGAGGAGGATTTTTGTTGGCCATAATATCGACGACAAAAAATCCTATATTGCGGCCGCGTTCAAGGAAGCAGACTGGAAAATGTTTGATATTAGAGATCTGGCAAAAGATCTTGCAATATATAAGTACAGAAGATCTGAAAGTTGAAGCAGCAGTTGAAAAAGCGATGGGAATGAAAAATAGAGGTGCAATTGGGTCTGTTCAGATGAAGAAACGATGAGATATCTCACTGTAGTTGGTCAAGTGCAATATCAATTGGGAAAGATATAATACTGATTAAAATATTGTTTTTGTTTTAAATGATTTTTGTTGACTTTTTGTCTAAGACTTATTTGATAGTCATAGTTCTAATTTGAAGGAGAGACTTGTTAATGAATTGTTGATTTTTGTCCAGTAGTTCTTTTGGGTACTTTTGTTAATGATAGACTTTTTATTATTATTTTCGCATCACTCTCCTCTGTCCACTTACTTTCTTCCGATCATGAATACCTTTTGTGTCAAACTGCAATTCACCCCTCCCAAAATAAAAATGGTCAGCAACCTCCACAAGCATAAGGTTGTATTTCCATTCGGCCTAAAAAAATTGGTCATAACAACCACTGTGACTAAAGATAAAACCATTATGGAATAATAGCTAAGGATGGAGGAGGATAGTCAAATCATAGGTTTCAATCTGAACACAAAATTCCCTAATGATAAAAAAATTAAAAAACAGAATGATTTTTTAAATACCCTCGTTATCTCAGTAGGGGAAGATGCACTGATTTTTCAACATTTCAATTTTCATCACGGAAATAATCGTGAGTTCAAAACTCCATCGTTGAACCTTGTGAACTTTCTAAAGAGAATGATTTTTGTTGCCCATAACATCAACTTTTTAAAAATTTGAATTTCAAACTTTTTAAGATTTCTTGTCGTCGATGTTCTGGCCAACAAGAATCCTCATCTTTAAAAAGTTCACAAGTTTTAACGATGGAGTTTTGAACTCACGATTGTTTCCATGATAAGGATTGAAATGTTGAAAAATCAGTGCTTCTTCCCCTGTTGAGATAACGAGGGTATTAAAAAGTCATTCTATTTTTTATTTTTTTATCCTCAGACAATTTTGTGTTTAGATTGAAGCTTATGATTTGACTATCTTCCTCCATCCTTAGTCATTTTTTCATAATGGTTTTATCCTTAGTCACAGTGGTTGTTATGACCAATTTTTTTTGGGCTGAACGGAAATATAACCTTATGTTTGTAGAGGTTGTTGGCCATTTTTATTTTGGGAGGGGTGAAGTGCGGTTTGACACAAAAGGTATTCATGATCGGAAAAAAGTAAGTGGATAGGGGAGAGTGATGCAAAAATAATAATAAAAGGTCTATCATTAACAAAAGTACCCAGAAGAACTTTTGGACAAAAATAACAATTCATTAACAAGTCTCTCCTTCAAATTAGAATTATGACTATCAAACAAGACTTAAACAAAAAGTCAACAAAAATCATTTAAAACAAAAATAATATTTTAATCAGTATATATCTTTCCCAATTGATATTGCACTTGACTAACTACGGTGAGATCTCACCGTTTCTTCATCTGGGCAGACCCAATTGCACCTCCATTTTTCATTCCCAGCGCTTTTTCAACTGTTGCTTCAAGTTTCATATCTTCAGCACCATATATTGCAAGATCTTTTTCCAGATCTCTAATATCAAATAATTTTCAGTTTACCTCCCTGAACGCAATCGCAATGTAGGATTTCTTGTCGTCAATGTTATGGCAACAAGAATCCTCCTCTTTCGAAAGTTCACAAGTTTTAATGATGGAGTTTTGAACTCACGATTGTTTCTATGACGAGGATCGAGATATTGAAAAATTAGTGCCTCTTCCCCTGCTGAGATAACGAGGGTATTTAAAAAATCATTCTATTTTTTATTTTGTTTATCATCAGGAAATTTTGTGTTCAAATTAAAGCTTATGATTTGACTATTCTCTCTTAGTCAAAATCCTATCCTAGTCAAAATACTACAGTTTCAATCTATCCTTCACTGTTTCAATCAAATCCTAATAAAAAAGAAACTATCCTTCAACAGTTTTAACAAAATCACAGTCAAAATAGTAATCGGTGTTTTTCCCAAATAGAACTACAGTTGACCAACAATGGTGAGAAATTCTCCTATTTCTTTGTCCTTCAGCTACCATAAATCCTGATTGTTTAAATCCCAGTCTTTCTTGTTCCCAGCTGCCTCTAGACCATTTTGTCAATGTCAAATTGACGGTGAAATTCTTCCTCGAGATTTAGGATATGAAATAATTCCCGATCTTTTTCTCGGAAGGAAGCTGCAAGAAATGCATTTTTCTCCTTCATATTGTCACATACAAGAGTGTTCCGCTTAGATAGTTCAGAAGCTTCAGTGGTAAATCTACGAAGCGTCGGTTGTTTGCATGATGGTCGCTCGTTGTTTGATACATCAAGGTATCAAATTCGCTTGCAACAACCAATGTGGTAAGAAATTTTGTCTTTTCATCTTCAACCACAATGTGCCGTGTATTGACATCGAACTCAATGTCCTTACTACCTCCATCTTCTCTTTTAATCCATTCTTCCAAATGGATTTTGTCTGTGGTGATGGTGGTGATAACCAAGCGTTTCTTGTGAAATGGGCAATCAGCCTCATATTTCCGGAGGTTAGGACGTGTTTTTGATCTTTGGAGTGAAAGAAGGTTTTATATTGAAAGAGATATTCATGTTTGAGAAAATATTTGAAGAGGAACAGTGGAGTGAACTTGGAAACCTATAGGAACTCTCTTTTTATCAAAAACACCGTGTCCTTAGCAATATATGACCATGGGATACTGTATGGATTCACATCATATTATTAGTTTCTTACTTTATGAGGCACTTAGACTTTTAAATTGTTTAGAATCTTACAAGAGTATTTTTTGTGTTTACGGCTCCTTTGTAATGCCTATTCCCTCAATTTTTCTTATTTGTATATCTTATAACATTAATTTGAGATACCGTGTTTATGGGTTTTATGCCAATCTACAGTAGTATATACAATTAAAAAGTCGAGTGAAAGTGTTATATGGAGAGGAGATATTGCCCTTGTTTTGAGCCCCATTTTTTTTTAAAAAATACATTTTTAAATAGTTTTTTGACATCATTTTAACCACACATTCTTCAATAAAATAATATTATACGAAAATCTAAAATTTTTCCTTATTTTTTAGCCACACATTTCACATCATTACACTATTCAAAAATGCATTTTCTTGGCAAAAATGAGGCTCAAACAAGGGCATTAGCGACGGAAACGACTATTTTCTTATCAAGGATTTTATCTATTAATGTCATGCTTGAATGGGTCTGTCATATATGTGTGGAAGTGGAATTTAAGGTTCTGAATACGTTGATTATGAACCGAGTGATAGCTCTTATAATCTATCATTCTGAACTGTTTAATTGAGATTAGAGTATCTCTGATCCAAAATTTGTAGTCGAGGCGATGTTTTTGAAAGTTGAATCCGTACCAGCAAAATGTTTGTGATATATGAAAATTTTCTTCAATCTACAAATAGAATCTCAGTTTTGTTTTATTTGTATATAAATTCATGAAAAATTTCTCTGATATCAAAATAGGACACGTATAAAAATAAAATATACCTCGACATCTGAAGGTGGAGACGACAACCATGAAAGTGCAGTTGCTTGGAGTAAATCCACATTTCGAGTTAGGCGTTATTACTTGAGCAACTCGAAATAAGGAATGCCTGCCAACGTAGTAAACTCAGGTTTCTTTTCACCGCCAATTTATAAGTACACAACAACGAAGAATTGCTAAGAAAAATAATATGGACCATATCATCAAATACTCGAGGAGAATAATCCAGTATCTTTAGTCTAATGAAGTGTTAGCATGAGCTGTGTGCTTATAATATTTAAATTAGTCTTATAATTATAGCTTTTAGCACAATTAGTAAAAGTAGCCAAATATAGATCCGCCCCGACGACTATATGTATCCCTCAATCTCTGTATAATGAAATTATGAGAGAAAAATTACAGAACACATATTCTTCAATCTAACATGGTATCACAGCGGGAATCTGATCGCTAGACCAATCTATGCCAGCAAGTGCACTGGTCGTATAACCACCAGAATCTAGGATAAAGAGATAGACACGAGGAATCACGGCTAGGGCTGTAAATATATTGGATTTTGATCTGAATCCGATGAAATTAATGGGAGATGGATTTAAGGTTTCAATCCGATAATCCAATTAAGATCCGAATTCGATAATCCACTAACTAAATGGAGCAAATATGGACATATGTCAATCCGATCCGATAACAATCTGATCCGATTTATTATAATCTCCCTTAGTCTTGCCTAAAGAGCTGCAAGTTCATCTTTATCCTTTGGAACCTTCAAGCACGTCAACATGAGTTTATGCAATATTCCATTCCAAATTCATCTTCAAGCAGTAGCAAAGATAAATAACTAAACCACAATTGGAAAGGCTTTCCACGTTCATTTCCGTGTCTATAATCAAATATATACTAGCTATTGTCCGATAAGCATTGAAGATCATGTACAAATACCCATAGATAAAAAAATGTCAGGATCAATGCTTTAAAAATATTTATTATCAATAAATATCAAAGCATTCAAGAATCCTATACTCATTGTTACAGATTAAATTTCTCTAGAGACCAAAATTTGAGCAGCTTCACACTAAATGCAATTCATACCTCAATTTTAGCCCAGGGTTCATAATCTGAATATTTATCCCATAAATTTCTTTGCGTCATACGCCTGTAGTGAAAGAAATCTTCTGTAATTTCTTTCCTCTGGCTAGCATCCATTGTAGTAAGATACATAATTATACCGATCTGGTAAATGCAATTCAAAGATTAAGAATCAATAGTTATTATGATATGCAATTAAAAATACAACAAATAAGCATGAGATATAGAAAACAAACTATATCTACAACAGAAAGAACTAGAGAATGGTTATTATCATTGCATTTCGCTACATGAAAGGATGCACATCATGCTCACCATATATTGGAAAACAGACTACATAAAAGTTCCAGGTAGAACGAAGCAGCACATGTACCTACGATTTGATAGTTTTAAATCAGCCAATGACCATATTTCTTTCCTTCCATGGTAGGGAAGTATGTTGGAAAATAAATTGGCATAGATGATTGATATTTGAAGGATGGTGTCAGGTAAAAGGTTCCAATCAAAATGCTTATTTTACTTGTGTCTAAACGAGTGATCATATATCAACTACCAAAGTTTGAAACAAAGTAACTCAGTTTCAAAAAGTCAGTGAATAGCATTAGATATGATCAGATTACACCCGAGAATATGTCATCTTTGGACAAGCTATAAGCCGGGCTTACGAGGCTTTTGCTGCATGCTGTCCATCTCAGTTCAATAGGTGCAGGAACAGGTATATTTTCTTTCTCAATTAGTTGCATCAATTCTTCAATATACTCCAGGTCTTTCATGCTTGGTTTAGATAGGGTTCCAACTGGAAAACAAATTTCTGAAACCCATTGTTGGCCACCACAATCAAAGCCCAAAATTTCATCATTCCAGCCTACTCTGTATCCCTCCAACTTTCTCCAGAACTCAGCCTCTGCTTGATTGACCTTCATCACATAGTCTTTACATTTCCGTAAATGAAAGTTCATTTATGTTGGGTTCATCTTCTCCGGGAATACTATCTGTAACTGCTTCTTTCCTGATGATAATGGTATCAATTATCTGAAAAAAACTAGAGATATATATCGAATATAATATAACTCGTAAATCTTAGTTTTTTTTTTTTTTTTAGTATCGTCTCTTCTATCATGTTTTCTATAAGCAGAGATGAAAAGAACATAAAAACAAAATAGATTTTCCATGTTTTCATCCCAAAAGAATAGGTTGATCAACTGTGTCAGTGTACAGAATGTACAAGTACTACACGTGTTTGTTCTCAGATAGAAGTTTTCTGTAATTGAAAAATTAGTGGAATTAACTCAATTTGCAAGAAATCAAGAAATTTGAGAACGTGTATTTCATAATATTTCTAAATTATATTGAATTGCCAGCAATGGACACCATTTTGACCAAAGATTGCCTCAGCATTCATTAAATGGGGTCCTGTTGTTAAACTGTCTATTGGTATTTGTAATGTTTTTAGTTAATCTTGTATAGAGTGTCAATCTTCTTCAGATTCAACTAGTTTTCATTTAACCAGAACAACATTCACCAGAAGAGAATGCACAACTGGGGCTTCTATACTGGAAACTATTTAGGGTGGTAAATGGACTAAGCCGTTCGCCAGCTCAGCTCGGCCCATTTTCTGCTCGAGCTCATGTTAGGATGAGCCATGGCCGAGCCGAGCTAGAATTTTTTCATGAGTATGCTCGTCTTGAGCTCGTGGGCAAGGTCCACAAGGTAGCTTGTGGCTCATTGGCCAATATATTTGACCATTTTGGTGGTCAAACAGTCACATGAGCACTTGGCCCAATGGTCATATATTTAATTTTTTTAACGATCCCTTTTTCCTGTAAACCCCCACTTAATTTGTTTCACACAAATCTACCTTCTCAATTTACAATTATTATAAGCTTCCTAAGTCTAAAGTTTAATTCTCTCTGAATTTACTTATTTGAGTTATTACTGTAAAATTCTGGTATAAATCATATTATTCTACCTCTTACTTACATATATTAATTCGAAATGGGATACAACCGATTAATAGTTAAGATTTTCAAGATTTGACTTCATAAATTGTAAGTATTGTTCGTTTACTCATAATTTTTCTTTTGACTTTTTAAAGAAATTGGATACATAGCTCCAATTTGGTCCCCATTCTTCTTCTCATTCTCTCTCTCTCTTATTTTCAACCATACAATTTTTTATAAAATAATATTACGTGCAAATAAAAAACTTTTCATTTTTTTTCAACCACACATTTTTCAAAAAATCACTATTTCAACCATTAAAACTTGAAAAGAATGGGAACCAAAAGGGGGTATAATATCTTTTTCGTATACAATTTCTTCTGCATATGTTAAGTTAGCCTGTCCCGTTCCTCAAAAAAGAAGGAAGGTTTCAATATATATATTTAAAGAAGAGAGAGAGAGAGAGAGAGAGAGAGAGAGAGATGTCTCATAGACAGCTTTGCTGAGCCCATGAGGTCCACAAGGCAAAGGGCTAAGCTGAGTAGGATTTTCAGACGTGTCGAGCTTACGTGTTTTAGGGCCGAGCCGAGCACATTGCCACTCCTAAACCTACTGCTGTCCGAAGATTGACAGTTCTAGTATATGAAAGTCCATCGACACACAATAATAATAACTGAAGACTCACAAGGTCTACAAGTATGGAAAGATGCAGGAAGCTAAAAAACAAACCAGGAGAACCAAATGCGACTGTCACCTCAAAATCAACTTACCGATTGACTTTTAAATGTTTCAACTAACAGAAATAGAAACTACATTAAACCTATTTCAACCATTGCTTCTGGTGGCATGATAAGTAAATAATCACACGATGAAATCAATCGTGATTTAGTCAAGAACAAAGTCAACTAATTCTAGTATAAGGTTCACCACATAAACATAACAAATTCAAGATCCGGGAAAAACACATGTTTTACTTTCTCTTCAACATCTTTTATATGAGCATTTCTTGGGTAAGCAAATAACGAAACTACAATTGTTTGTTGGAAGAAGTTATTGTGATCAAGAGAAAGTTCATTACTAAGTGAAGAAAATGAATATTACTTGTGATTCTTTTTTATCTCTTTCAGGTTTGATACAAATGTGTGCTCTACAAGGTCCAGCCTCTCGACACATTGCAGAGTGACTTCTGCAACTACACCATGTTCTCCAAGACCACTGCGAGCCAGATAAAAGAGTGCTGGATTTTTCTCTTTAGAAACCTCAATAGTACCCTTAGCAGTAGTTACTAATTTCATGCTGATGACCTGCTCATCAATAGGAGGTAGCATTGCACCAGCGCCATGGGCACGAATCTGAAGGTTTCAATACACATGAGCCAAAGACATAAAAAGCCTAAAAGCAACTTAAAACTAGAACATCACTATAACTTCATAAACATACAAATGCCCCATAGGTTAAAAGAAGTCCTTGACTAATTATATGGTAACATTAGCAAAATAAGGGAATTATATCTTCTCTTTCTTATCTATCCTTCTCCACAAACCTCCCAAGACAAGGTACAATGAAAAAACAAGAATAACAGAAAAGGCATTTTAGTTAACCTGAGAAGCATGAAATGGAAAGAAGAACTCATCACCTATATATTTGAACTACATTGCTTCATGTGAACATCAACACAAGTCAAAGAATAACCATTTTATAATATCAAAACAATATATAAGAACCTCCACCTTACTTCAATTTTAACATCTACCTGAATACTGGCACAAATATTTAAGTATGTTACTTAAGCAAAAGATAGGCAATCCTTGAGGCAAGCACCACCTATCTCTACATACATTCTTGACCGGAAGTACAATATGCAAGCAAGACTTGAAGCAAGAATACATATTGCTCAAAAATTAAAATATCATATAAATTCAAAACAAGAGCTATAATTGAACTTAATTAATCACCTGAACTATACCGCCAATCTGCTGCTCCATTATAGATGCAAAATTTTGCAATGTAATCCTATATTCTTTAATCCCATCCACGAGTTGCTGGACCCTAATTCCAGCTTGCACACTGACCCTTTTCTTTTCTTTATCCACCTCCAAAACCTCATCCATTAAAGCCAAATTGACCATCCCTGCACGCGACAGCCCAATGCCATTTGGGGACAAGCCCGACCACACAGGCCGTGTCTTTTGCTTATTTTGGTTACAATCTTTAACTACAGATTCAAGCTCTTGGAGGGTTTCAGGCTGGATGAAGGTACGCGTTTGAACTTCATGGTTACCACTCAATTGGAGACTGTGTGCAGGTCGGGCGGAAGCGGGGAGTAGCGGAAGAGCTGGGCTTTCTTCTGGTTCGCATCTTCGAGAAATGGGAATGAGTAGTAGGTAGCAGCACCGCTGTCAAGGAGGAGAAGGGCGTAGCCTTGTTATTTACGAAGCTCCGCATCGGTGGAAGAGGGTGGCGGGATATTGGAGAGTGAGGAAAACTGGCGGTGGACGGCGGTGGAGGTGGCGACCGGAGGTTTAAGGGGGCGGATAAGGGAGTGGACGAAGCGTCTGACATTGAGAACTCGGAGCACTTGGCTGGTGTTTTACAGTGGGTTTAGTGAGAGCAGAATCAAATGAGACTCTAGGGAAAAAGTCGATCTGATCGACGTCTTCGAGACGATTAAGGATTTTCGAAATCCTATTTTCGATCGTCTCTAGTGCAAGTGAAATACCTCAAATTGACCTAAATAAAGGAAGGATTTTCCAAAATAGCCTTTGACTTTTCTAAACATTTTGAACTACCTAAAACACCCTTAAACAAATATTAAAAACAACCCTTTATCTAATATAAATCTTCTATTTAAGTCCTTAAATAATTAACAAATAATTTTCCTAAAAATTTGTGAGAATTATTGATGACTAATTATAAAATAGAAAAATCCAAATATAAGAGAGGACCATATAATATAAAAAATGTTGTTAAAAATAAAAAAGAAATTAAGTTTGAAAAAGAAATTGATAAGATAGGATATCAAGAACAATTATATGCATCACAAGAAATATTAAAATGTTTCAAAGAAAACTTATTAGAAAATTTTGCTAAAGGAATTGTAAGAACAATAATTATAAAAGATATACAAGATATCATAGATAAATTGGAAAAAAGGAAGAAAAATATTTCAAAATGTGATAAACCTTTTAGAACAGATATAGATACGATAACAGATATTGATATTATAAATTCTCAGACATTATTAGACTTTGAAGAATTGCTTAAAAATTTATAAGAAGGCTAACCACAAACATATAAAAAATTAGTCTTTATCTTAAGATTTTATTTACATTTAATATTAAAAATAAAAGAGTTTTTGGAATATAAAAACTTTAGATTCATGGTTATTAGATTTTTAGATTATTAGATTTTTGTTCGCTCATAGTAGCACCCTCACCGTTGGTATCAGAGCCATAGAGATCACGAGAAAAAATATAAAAAATAAAATTATGATTTTAGAAATTATTGAAACTTATAAAAATAGACTAAAGTACCAGGTAAAATATAGTTATGACATAGAAGGTTATATAGAAGAAGATAATATAGTTGGAACATATAGTAAAGATATAAACGAAGTATTAGAAATTTTTAGAGTAATTAAAAATCTACTTTTAGAATTAAAAAAAAATAATTAAAAAAATATTATTTGAAGAATATAAGCATATATATATATATATATATTAAAAGTAATTCAAAGGGAAATAGATTTCATAATAATCTGAAATTACTTTATGGAAATTATAAAAATAAATAATTATTATCAATGTATTGAAGAAAAAGGATGTTATATTTTTTACAACCCCACCCCTAATAAATTAAAAATAATAACATTATATATAACTAGGAATTTACCTAGAGAAATAAAATAACAAATATTGCATAACTTAATTGTAGGATTTATCAAAGATAGACGTACATATGAAATAATTTGCGAAATATTTGAA